ATACTCTGAGCCGTCTACCTGGCCCCTTCCATTCTTCTTATCTGTAAACAATCAATCTTAATATGCTTATCAGACAACATAGACATTAGCTGTTTCCTGCTTTATTTTTAATACTCAGTCCCTGTTACTGTTACCATTAAAAATGTAGGAAATATTTGAATTCAGAGTTAAAAGGGAAGAATGAAAGCGGTATTACACAAACACACTTTTAAAGAAATTTATTATTTTTGTATTTTTTTAATGTGTATGCGTGTATTGCCTGTGTGTAGGTAAGTGCACCTGTGTCGTGCAATGCCCATGGAGAACAGAAGAGGCTATTGGATCCCCTGGAACTGGAGTTACGGACAGTTGTTAGTTGCCATGGGGGTGCTGGGATTCAAACCTGGGTCTTCTGCAAGATCAACCAGTGTTCTTAACTGCTGAGCCATCTCTCCAGCCCACAAGTATACTTTATAACAATTTATCAGCTTATAATGGCACTGATATACTTTTCTCTTCCACATATTACAATCATTTTTTTGTTTTTGGTCTTTTTGAGACAGGGTCTCCCTGTAGCCCCAGCTGGCCTGGAACTCATTATGCAGACCAGGATGGCCTCGAATTCAGAGATCTGCCTGCCTCTGCCTCCTAAGAGCTGAGATTAAAGGCATGTGCCACCATGCCTGGCGACAATCATTTTTAAAATTCACCTCCTCTGCTGCTCCACAAAAAGTGTCTATTTAAGTCAGTGCTCTTTGCCTCATATGTCTGTCCTAATCCCAAGATTCCAATTCCCAGGCAGAAGAAATAAAGATGATTATGCTCAAAGTTTGGAGCTCACTTACATGCAGAAAAGCTGCACTGGTGTTAAATATCAAATCTCACCCTATTTTACAGATGCAGAACCCAGGAAAGAGACAACTTTATTCATGGAAATAAAAGAAATTTAGGAATACATTCCAAAAGATCTGACTCGTCTGCACTGACCTCAAGGGACATCATCTCAGGGTACCAGGGGCATCTGTCAGTACCTTATCCAGTCATCTGACATATGTCACTTGTAAGCATTTTAAAAGCCATACTGTTTTACAGATCTTTCCAGAAGTCTAAAGGAAAACCTGCCAAAGAAATTCCTCAGAGAAAATGTCAACTGCTTCAACACAGTTTGCTATACAAATTAGGACCTAGCATCTCAGAGATTTGTGGCACAAGTCATCTCAATATTTCATTAGCATCTTTACCAAAAAGGAAGCACTCAAGAAAAATGCAAATCCACAGAGTTTTAGGCCAACTTCCTTTCCCCTTATGCTTCAGTAACTGCAGTCCTACTGTGCTTGTGAAGGTCAAGAAAAGGACGTCCTGTCAGTCGTTACAACACAAAGCATAACTTATTCCTAAACCAAACTGAGTTTGGCTCAGAAAGCCTCCCAGAATGATGGAAGGCATGACTTCAGGGTGAGTCAACCTTAGCTAATGCATAAAATAAAGCAGAGAAGAACTATCTGAAGGATTCACGTCTAAGATTGAGCCAAATCAAAAGCCCAAACCAATCTACTTTGTGATGAATCCTGAGATTCAAATGAGTGATTAGACTTCATCAACGTGGACGTCTGTACCATGATCTAAGACAGTCCAACAACAGACTCTTGGCTAGAAATCCAAGAAGCATCCAATCCTTACAGGTTTCCTTTTTCTTTCTTCTTCTCCTTTTTTTTTCATTTTTATTTTTGTGTGGAGGTGAGTGCGCTGGAGATTGGACCCAGAGCTTTATGCATGGTAGGCAAGCACTCTTATCACTAAGCTACATAGTCAACTGTTTTTTTAAGAGAGGGTCATACTATGTGACCAACTGACCTTGAACTTGGAATCCTACTGCCTCAGCTTCCCAAATAGCTAGGATTACAGGTTTGTACTACAGTATCAGGCTTCCATGCAGTTTTTTAACCATATTATGTTTTTATCTATATTGTTCTTTGCTGCCCCATCTGCCTTTTAAAAATTCTGTGTGTGTGTGTGTGTGTGTGTGTGTTTATGTCTATGTGTGGATATGTGCACATGAGTGAAGGAGCATTGGATTTCTCTGAAACTGGAGTTACAAGTGTTGTGTGCCTCTGACACAGGTTCTGGGAAACAAATTTGGGTCCTCAGCAGTATACACTCAACTGCTGAGCGATCTCTCCAGCTCCCACATCTGCTTAAAGAACATCCATTCTTCAAAGTTAAAAACACAGACTACTTTTCTGATATCTTTCCCTGATCATTCTCTTCTATACTACCTCTAGAACAATGTACCTATATATTGTTACATCTGAGATACTTTATCATAAGAATTTATTTATAGATCCACTTCTCTAAGTACACTATACCTCTGGGGGAAGGACCAGTATCATTTACCTTCCTATATGCAGTGTTTGGAATAACAGCATGTTAAAAGAACTCAATATTTAACTTGAATGGGGCAGGGGAAAATGATTCAGAGACTACTAGCTAACCTGAGAACAGGTTTTTTGTTTTAATTTTTAATAATAGTATTTTTTATTGAATTTTTATGGATTTCATAACATCTTTTAAAAAATATTTTACTTATTATTGTTACTTTGTGTATGAGTGTATTGCCTGCATGTATGTGAGGTCACCTGTGTTGTGCAATGCCTCAGAGGTCAGAAGAGAGCTTCGGATTCCCCTGGAACTGGAGTTAAGGACGGTTCACAGGCACCATGTGGGTGCTGGGAATCAAACTCAGGTCCTCTGCAAGAGCAGTCAGTGCTCTTAACCACTAAGCCATCTTTCCAGCCCGATACAGAACATCTTAATTAAATTTATACCCCTTCTCCATTGACACCTACACACGGCCTCCCCACTGGATTTCATACATTCTGTCATTTTTGCTAAGGCCTATCATGTCAAGTTAGTCTCCCCAGATGTCCCTCAGTGCAAGTTCATCCACTGAGGTCTAGTCAACCTATCTAGAGTCCCTCCCTTTAGAAGATCAGCTCTTCCTCACCCAGCACTAATCAGCTACCAATAATTCTTCAACTAAGATTGGGGCCTGCTGTCCATTTGTTCTGTACTGGGATTTTGTCTGCTTGAGTTTGCATGGGTCTTGTATATGCTGACATCATAGCTACAGGTTCATATGAGAAGGGTCTCAGGAGCCTGTACAATTCTAGCATATGGTCATGTACCTCCACCTTGGCTCTTACAATCTTTCCACCCCCTCTTCTGTAATGGTCCCTTAGCCCTGGGTGGGTGGATTTTAATATAGGAGTCCTGTCCAGAGACCCACATACTGTAGACTCTTATTTTCCACATTTTGGCCATTTGTGACCTTTTGTGTTCCAGGCCCTCTGTTGCATGAGGGAGTTTCATTGATGAGAATTGAAAAGATGCATTAGTATTCTCTTTATCAGCCTGTTTCTATGTTCCATGAGCCTAGGTGTAGAGGTTGCATCCTAGGTGTGCCACTTAGGCTTGGGTGATTCACAGACAATCTCTGTGTATGACCAGTTGTGGAACTCTGTAACAATCTCTGTTAAGAAGCTTCTGAGGCTGGAGAGATGGCTCAGCGGTTAAGAGCACTGACTGCTCTTGCAGAGGACCTGGGTTCGATTCCCAGCACCCACATGGTGGCTACGAACCATCCTTAACTCCAATTCCAGGGGAATCCGAAGCCCTCTTCTGACCTCAGCAGCACTGCACGACATGGGTGCACTCACATACATGCAGGCAATACACTTATACACATAAACTAAAAATAATAAAATATTTTAAAAAAGAAAGAAAGAAGCTTCTTGGAGCTGGAGAGATGACTCAGAGGTTAAGAGTACTGTATGCTCTTACAGAGGACCTGGGTTTGATTCCCAGCATGGTGGTTAACAACTGTTAATAACTCCAGTTCCAAGGGATTGGAAGCCCTCTTCTAACCTCCATGGGCATTGCACGACATGGGTGCACCTACCTACAGGCAGGCAATACACCAGTACACATAAAATAAAAATATGAAATACTTTAAAAAAAGGTTCTTTGATGGGTGGTGACTCGGATACTTGCCTGTAAATTTAAGGATCTGTATTCTGCACATAGTAAGAAATTACATTTGTTTAGGGATATAACAGTCTTGGAGTTTTCTCTAAGATTTATGACCTCTCCAGCTATGTGTATTTGGCTTGGTTTCTAGTACCACAAATGAGTTTCCTCTCATTGAGTGAGCTTTAAGTTCAACTAGGTAGTTATTGATTAATTCCAAGACAAAAGTGCCACTACTGCACCAATGTTGTTTGCTATGCCAGTCACTGATATGGTTATTAAGTCTTGAAACTGGGGCTATACCATTGACTGATGATCTCCCTTACCAGCTTGCATAGTGCTCTCCAAAGTTATGAGAGCTAGCCTTCAGGGCAGGTTGCTCCAAGGTCAGTTCAAGAGAACAGGTTTTGTTGTTGTTTTTGTTTTTAATATTTTATTTATTATTTTATGTGTATGAGTGTATTGCCTACATGTATGTGAGTGCACCCATGCTGTGCAATGCCACAGAGGTCAGAAGAGAGCTTCAGATTCCGTTGGAATTGGAGTTAAGGACGGTTTGTAGCTGCCATGTGGGTGCTGGGAATTGAACCCTGGTCCTCTGCAAGAGCAGTCAGTGTTCTTAAGCACTAAGCCATAAGAGAACAGGTTTTATAACTAAATAAACAGGTATTAAAAAAAAAAAGAAAACTGTCATAAAACTGTGAAAGCAGCTATTTAAGGCAACTTAGAAAGGTATATACTATATCATAAGACAAAATAGATTAAAAAAAACAAAAGAGGGGGGTTGGAGGAATGGCTTAGTGGTTAAGACTGTGTACTGCTCTTGCAAAGGACCTGAGTTTGGTTCCCAGTGCCATATCAGTCGGCACAAAACTGCCTGCAACTCCAGGCTCCAGGGGATCTGATACCTTATATTCTTTGTAAGCACCTGCACTCACATGCACATACCCCCCCACAGACACACACAAATAATTAAAAATAATAAAAATATGTTTTCGCTTTGGCAGCAAATATACTAAAACTGGAATTATACAAAGAAGATTAGCATGGCCCTATGCAAGGATAATGTGCAAATTTGTGAAGGCTTCCTTTCCTTTTTTTTTTTTTTTGAGTTGTTCCAACAACAAAAATAAATATAAACAAAAACAACAAAATATTTGAATGAAAGAGAGGGAGCAAATGAAAGGAAGGAGGAAGGAAGGAAGGAAGGAAGGAAGGAAGGAAGGAAGGAAGGGAGGGGAGACAGGAGCCAGAGATAAAGAGGTCATCAGTGGTTAAGAGCATGACACAAAATACATTCCAGTAAGTCCTTTACACCATTAGCAGAAGTTACCAATTTAGTTCTATAACCTTTGGTACAATTAAATAAAAAATTATGCCGGGCATGGTGGCACATGCCTTTAATCCCAGCACCTGGGAGGCAGAGGCAGGCGGATCTCTGTGAGTTCCAGGCCAGCCTGGTCTACACAGTGAGTTCCAGGACAGCTGGGGCTACAGGGAGACCCTGTCTCAAAAAGACCAAAAAATAAAATTAAATTAAATTAAACTAAATAAAAAATTATGCTGGGCACAAGGGTTCACGCCTTTAATCCCAGCACTCAGGAGGCAGAGGCAGGTGGATCTCTGGGAGATGGAGGCTAGTCTGGTCTTATAGTGAGTTCCACAGGGAGATCCTGTTGGGATGGAGGGATGGAAGGGGATTTACTATAAATGACAAATTCATAAATGTGCCTGAAGTTTACAAATAAAAACTGCTTAACTGCCCCAACACTGAGAATATGAAATTTCTCTTGTGGATTTCCATAGGTGGCACCATGTAATGTAAAAATGTTTTAATATACAGTGATTGTACACCAATGTACAAATGAGTAAAGGTATTACTACTAGTAACCAGTTTGTTATTACATAGGCCTGGTTTCCGGGCCTAAGTCCAATGGTTACTGTATTAGATGCTTAATAAATTTTGGATCCATGGATAGAAAACAATTTAAAAAATAATGGAACCTCTTAAAAATAAAAGTGAGGTTAATACATTTTATAGGGACTCAGATATAAGATAGAGGGTCTAGATAGTATTTTTTAAAATTCCTTCTGATGGGGGCTGGAGAGATGGCTCAGCGGTTAGGAACACTGGTTGTTCTTGCAGAAGACCCGGGTTTGAGTCCCGGCACCCACATGGCAGTTAACAACTGTCCATTAACTCCAGTCCCAGGGGATCCAACAGCCTCTTCTGACCTCCGAGGGCACTGCACAACACGGATGCACTGACCTACATGCAGGCAATACACGCATACATATAAAATAAAAATAATTTTAAAATTGAAAAAAAAATTCCTTCTGATCTAGAGTCTATATACTAATTCTCAGGAGAACAAAACTGAGCAGTAACTTCAATTCTAAATATTTATGAGTAAAATAAAAAGCTTCCAAGAAGGGAAAAACCCAGAGTATCCCTCAGGAGCCAAAAATAGTCCACAGACTGGGGAAAAGACCATGAGCCAAGACAACAACTATTTCATATTCTTCATCTTAGCTGAAACATAACATAGTCAAAATGGTGAAAACAGAGTCAACAGATGATGCTCTGGAACCTTTAAGAGCAGGAAAGAATTACAGAACAAGAGTACTATGGATATATCTCCCTAAGAGTTAGGTCAGAAACAAAAACAAATGTAGGAAATCATGAGAACGACAACATGAGGAGAAAAAAAGTTCAGTGTAGTCCTTTACAGGAACAGGCAGTGTTACTGTATCGAGCGAGCTGCTCCCACAATAACATCACTTCACTACTCTATTCCCTTGTATATGGCAGCTACAGACTGAACAAGTTCCAGTGTATAGGACTCAGTCTTATTTGAAAGGCTCTTCACAGACTAGAAACTGGGTCCTAAGGGACAATGTATAGCACACTCTCACACATTCCAGCTGGCTGCAGCTCAGCGGCTGATTGTTCCCTTGTCTAACCTGGAAAGGAGCCAAAGGAGGACTTTTCTTACAATTCTCCCAGGCTGGAAAATTCTCTAATGCCAGAGTTCTGGCTTAAGTCTGGATATCAGGTTATTCATGAAATGCCAAAACTGTATTTTTTTTTTTTTTTTTTGGTCTTTTTGAGAGAGGGTCTCCCTGTAGCCCCAGCTGTCCTGGAACTCACTATATAGACCAGGCTGGCCTTGAACTCACAGAGATCCGCCTGCCTCTGCCTCCTGAGTGCTGGGATTAAAGGTGTGCGCCACCACACCTGGCTAAAACTGTATCTTTACATTAGCTTTGAACAAATCTCTCAAGTACACTATACAGATTCCCACAACCCTCAACATCACCTGGACATTAAGGCCCAAGACAGCAACTTCTCACATAGAGATGAACATGCTTTTTGAAGTATGAGTAACATCAATACAAACTTCATAAATTATAAATCAATCTCACTGGCTCTTAAAATGAGCAAATGGGCAATACATGATAAACGGTTTCCTGAAAACCTTGTATTCTACCTACTGAGCACTCTTCCCTTTTCCACTTGGTACTCAAATTCTCTTCACTATTGCTATCTATGCTATGAAGATCAAACCCCAAGTCTGTTTCTCTAAGAGGAAATGAAGGAAGAAACCTAACAAAGTTTCGTTTTGTTTATAAAATCATCAAGCTCCCAAATTGGTAGTTCTTAACTCCCTCCCAGAGAGTGTTTGGAAATGTGTGTGGGCCATAATGGCATCTGGTGGGCAATGCCAAGAATGCTAAATATCTTGCAATGGCAAGCCTGCAAAATGAACTGTTTGCTCAAAAAGGTGCTAAAACACTCATCAGCATTAACTGCCTTCACCCCTCTTGGCTTCTAGAGCAGAGAGAGAAAAATGGATCATTGCCTGAGCCCAGAGTAGCTAAAAAACACATGCTCCAAGTTCAGGAAGAGACCCTGCCAGAGAAGAATAAGGTGGGGGGCTAGAGAGATGGCTCAATGGTTAAGAGCCATCACTGGCTGTTCTTGCAGAGGACCCAGGTTTGGTTATCAGCACCTATATGGTCCATAACTCCACATGGTCTATAATTACAGTTCCAGAGGATCTAACACCCTCTTCTGATCTCCACGGTCATTGCACAACTTGCGTACACTTGCATACACACAGGCAATACACTCATACAAATTAAAAAATAGAAATAGCTGGGGGTGGTGGCACACGCCTTTAATCCAAGCATTCGGGAGGCAGATCTTTGTGAGTTCGAGGCCAGCCTGGTCTACATAGTGAGTTCTAGGACAGCCGGGGCTACAAGAAGACCCTGTCTCAAAAGAGAAAAAATAGAAATACCCAGGCATAGTGGCGAGGCCTTTGATCCTGGCACTCAGAAGGCAGAGGCAGGTAGATCTCTGCGTCCAAGGCCAGCCTGGTCTACATAGTGAGTTCCAGGACAGCTGGAGCTGCAGGGAGACCCTGTCTGAAAAAGACTAAAAAAACAATAATAATAAATTTTAAAATTAAAACAAAAAAATAAGGTGGAAAGTAATAGAGAAGGACACTTGACACCTTCCACTGACCTCAATACGCACTCCTACACACACACACACACACACACACACACACACACCACACTTATATACAAATTAACAATAAAGATATGAAGACAGGTGTGGTAGCACACATCTTTAAACCTAGCACTTGGGAGGCAGAGGTTGGATGGATCTCTGTGAGTTTAAGACCAGCCTGGTTTACAAAGTGAATTCCAAAGAGATGACTCAGCGGTTTAGAGCACTGACAGCTCTTGCAGAGGACCCAGGTTCGATTCCCAGCACCCATATGGTAGCTAACAGCTGTCTGTAACTACAGTTCCAGGGGATCTGATACCTTCTTCTGACCTCTGTGGGTACTGTAAGACATGGGTGCACTTATACACATGCAGGCAATACACAGGAACACATAAAATAAAAATAATAAAATATTTGGAAAAAAAAAAAAGTGAATTCCAAAACAGACTACACAAGTGAAACCCTGTTGAAGAAGAAAAGGAGGAGGATAAGAGAGGAGGAGGGGGAGAAGGAGGAGAAGGTGAGGAGGAGGAGGTGGTGAGGAGGAAGAGGAGGAACTAGAGAGAGATGGTTAGCAGTTAAGAGTATGTACTGCTGCCGGGCGTAGTGGTGCACGCCTTTAATCCCAGCACTCCAGAGGCAGAGGCAGGCAGATCTCTGTGAGTTCAAGGCCAGCCTGGTCTACATAGTGAGTTCTAGGACAGCTGGGGCTACAGGAAGACCCTGTCTCAAAGAGGCTTTTGCAGAGGACCTGAATTCAATTCACAACACCTATATCAGGCACTTCACAATTGTCTGTAACTCCAGCTCTAGGGAGATTTAATAGCTCTAGCCTCTGCAAGTACCTGTACTCAGATGTACATACCCCTATTGAGACACATACACATACACATAATTAAAAATAAAGCTAGAGCGGTGCTTCAGCAGTTAAAAGCACTGGCTGCTTTTACAGAGGATCTGCATTCAGTTCCCAGCACCTACATGGTGGCCAACAATCATCCATAACCCAGTTGCAGGGGATCCAATACCCTTTTCTGGTCTCTGCAGACCCTTTACACACGTGGTGCACTTACATGCAGATAAAATACTTATACACATAAAAATAAATAAGCCGGGGGTGGTGGCACACACCTTTAATCCCAGAGCTCGGGAGGCAGACAGGCGGATCTCTGTGAGTTCAAGGCCAGCCTGGTCTACGTAGTGAATTCCAGGACAGCTGGGGCTACAAGGAGACCCTGTCTCAAAAAAGACAAAAATAAATAAATAAATAAATGGAATCTTTAAAAAACAATAAAATGTGATTAAAGTGTAATGGACAATGTTATAAATAAATTCAAATTTTAAAGAACAAGAGCTTAAGAATTCAGCTTTAAAACCTAGGAATTGGGGCCAATAAGGAGATAGCTCAACAGGTAAAGGAGCTTGCTGCTGAGCCCCAAACACCTGAGTTTGATTAACAGAACCCACATGGTGTAAGGAGTGACCCAACTCTCACAAGTTGTCCTCTCATTGCCACAAAATAAACACATAAATTAAAAATAATTTTTTTCATTAAGACCTAAGAATTGGAGAATATAC